CATTAAATTGTTGAGTTGAAAACCATCCGATCTGTATGATGATGTCATGTGTTGGTTTTGAAGTATACAAATTTTCGGAGTCCCCCCTACTAGCGCAACAAATTTTTCAGAGCCCCCCCTTCGGGTGTCTAAAAATTTTCGGAGCCCCCCCTCAATATCTTCATCCCCCCCCTTGTCATATTAAATGAACTTTCCCTAAGCAGTGTAAATGCATGATAATTTATACGTTCTTTTAATTACACACAAACCATTAAGCACAGCTTCCATAAATCCAATGGCAAGTTCATTCTGATGAGCATCTGGTCTACTAGCCTGGAAGGTAAGGGCATAAATTAACTAAGACTGGTCGCACTTCATAGATGACCAACACACAGATCAGTTTTATAGCCAACCTGCAGCAAGATACGCTAATTTCTTTACAATAAATAAATTCAACCGAGGCATTGGAGTAATTAATCTTCTCTCCCATAGCTCACTAGACCCTTTCACGGCTTTTTTCAACTTTTGACATGAACCAGTTAGGGAAAATCTGTCCGTCCAGTGGAAAGAGCGCCTTGAAATTAGTAAAATTGCTAAGTTTGAAAGTGATACGTTTTAAGTGAGCGAAGATATAACTCTTCAAAGTTTCGAAAATTTACAGACATTACGGTAGGCGGCAAGTTCGTTCCCCCACCAAACAAACGTCTGTTTTTAACTAGTCACTTTCAAACTTGGCAAATTTACTCATTTAAAGGCGCTCTTTCTAGCAGAGTTGACGAATTTTCCCTAAATTATCCATGTTAAAAAAAAGTCGAAAAAACCGTGAAAGGGTCGTTACTCTTTTTCCTTCCATACTGAATTTCCAAAAATTTGCACTCTGTGCAAGTGAAAATTGGCTTCCGGTTTTTATATTTCGCGCGTTTTTGGACTTCAGGCTGAGCAGGTCGCGGAATACATTTTCGTGCCTCGACTTGGAAACACACCAAAGGCATTTTTGGATGAAAAACTTGAATCTCAAAGCAATTATGCAGGTTAAAATTTTTACTGTAGTACAAACTTCTAGGTCTATTGATGAAATACTTATGTGCTAAGCAGTACCTTCCGCTAATAATGTTTGACAAAGTGGATCTGTCTTATCAGTTGGTAGGGTAAAGCCGTAAAGTATCACCACTCAAACGAAATCTGTTCATCAATTTATTTGACATGATATTCTTTATTTTTCCAGATTTTTAAAAAAAAAGATTTGCAGTTTAAGGGTTAGCTTGCTTCACAGTTTTGATCTTACCCCTAGCAAGGTTAGAAGAGTGTCCAGCGACAGGATGTATTTGTCATGAAGCTGAAGAAGACCTTGCAAGAAAACCGCCGGTTGATGCTTTCTTAAAAGCTGAAAAAAGCAACAACGTTTAATAAACAACAAAAACGATTATTACCCTTTGCGGTTGAAGAAATGACTGATATGAGAAGAGGGTTGTGGAAAAAAGGGGAGGGTTTTCCCGCGCGTCAGGTGCAACGACTCTGAAGGCTCTTTCAATGGTCGTTGTGCTCATTTTTGTCAGTTTCGTTAATTGTGATCTTTGTTTGCTCCTTTTGATAGTTTTGTATTATTGTCGTTCTGGTCTTTCTGTTCGTCTTTTGGTCATTTTTTTTTGGTCGTTTGTAATCTTTTTGGCCGCTCTTGTGTTGCTTGCGTTGGTCACCAATGACCGTCATCTTTGGATTTTCGTACTTTTTTTGCTACCTGTTGAAAAGTCCCTAATTACCGCAGCGACACATCCCTCCAAGTTTCCCGCTAGTCATGGCCAGGAACACAAGATTTAAGGCAATTGTCACACTCCAGCTCATGTTAAAAATTAACGATCATTTGACGTTCCCAATTTAAGGAGTCCTGTCTCAACAAACGCTGAGAACCAATACTTTGAAGAGGACACATGATGATTGAAATAATACTACACACCTGTGCCAGCGGTGTAAAATGTGTTCCATCCTCGTGTAACAGGTAATAATGTGTAGTCACGACTTCCACGAGCTTTTTCTGCATGAAAAAAATGTCATGACTTATTAACCGCAAGCAGTTTTGTAGAGCCCCAAGAACTAGACAGCAAAATCTTACATAATCACACACGGGTAGTTAAATACAGGTTTTTTAAGGGAAAGTGTCCAACCAAGGTGAAAAAACTTTTTTAACAGCCAAACGCCAGAAAAATGTCGCATGAGTTTCGCCACAGCCGCGTCCTCAATCCCCCGCTTGATTCGCCTCTTTCATCGCGCTCGCTCCGTTGTTCGCTCTTTTTCCCGCGAAAGCACCGGGTGACAAGCTAAATGCCACAGCTGAACCATTTTAATGAACTGCTCACGAGAACTTTGACTGTACTCGGATCTGTTAAAAAAAAGAAATTAGAGCAAAGTATTACAGGTACCTTAGGGATGGAAAATAGGGCTGCCTGCGCGTGATCAGGTTCACATTGATGAAGATACAAAACTGCTCGCACAAGGTTATCCAGTGGGGAAAGGCTAAAACAAAATAACTCAAATCAAAAACTGTTTCCAAAGAAATGAAACTCACAAATAGACAAATAACCGACTAAACAGCTTTCACTAACCTGTACACACCTCCATCAGCGAATTTCGCCTTCTTCAGATCTTCCAACGCAGATAATGCGGTGTCTTAACAGAAACAAAAGGTTAACAACAGAGAAGAATCAGTGAAATACTATAAAAAGTTAGAAATGTGAAAAACGTTCTTCAGTTCCGAGCTGGACAGATCTGGCCTGGACGTATTTCCGGTCTTCGAGAAGTGACGACCGGAAATAGGTCTGCGTTCGTATAGCTGGACTGATCGAACCATACCTGAGGAAAAGCCACTAAGAGATGACACAAGAATTATCTCTGCAACACGTTCAGGTTTCCCTTTTGAGTACAACTTGAAGATTTTCTTGGCTGTGTTCTGAAAAAAGAATGAAATAAGTCTAAGAGTTTTCTATAAACAGCTTTAACCCATAACTTTGTTGCTCCTAAAAAATATTATGCAAGACCAATTAGCCCTTTTCTGGGAACCCGCTACTAGAGGGTCCCCAAGAGGAGAAGTGTGACGTCACGTTACCATAGTAGCAAAATTTCTGGATCTGGGATCTGTGATCCAGAAATTTTGCTACCATGACAACGTGACGTAACTACTCCTCCTCTTTAAAGTTCTGCAGTGCCGCCGAAATTTCATTACGTCTGCATGTCAAATCTTTTGCTTTGTTGCAAAATGATTCGTAATCCTCAAATACATGTAAAACTCGGCATCTTACCTCAGATACAGGAACAGGTTCATCAGACCCCAGCAGTTTTTCATCTAGGAAGTGGATTAAACCCTCAGCCACTGTAGTCTGGCCAGACTTATGGTACGCCCTGTTGACAATGTCTCGCAGCGAGAGGCCAGTCATGTTGAAGTAATCTGCACTATCGTGGTAGACACTGGGTATCCTGAAAACAAAAACAAAAATTTTAAGGCATCAAAGATGCTTGTTGGGACTGAAGCACACTGCCAAATGTTAGCCATTTTTAAAAGACTGTTTAAAGTTTTATACATGTATACAGCTGTAGCAAGATTAGCTATAGGTGGATTTAATATTTTAAGTTTTAGGTAAGAATTAAATTTTTACCTTTGGTTGATTCTCAATTTTCTTCGTCTCCTAGCCTAACCTGTGTACCAGAGGTTTCTTTGTAAATTGTAAATTGTAAATATCTTATTATCCACTCCCCTCAGGGCTTTTCAGGGATAATTTACAACACTGGTTGGGGGACTTTGCCAGACTGCTTAAGGCGCAGTTTACAAGTAGTGAAGGAATGAGTAATGATGCCCCCATACATGAGTGTGAAAGTGAGATAGGCCACTACACCGGGCACTACGTGCCCTACTCTTTACGAAGAGTGTGTGGGTTCTTTAACGTCCCACAGATTTAATACATGTGCAAGGGCTTGTGAGACGGGGCCTACGGTTTATCGTCCTTATCCGAGAAGACTAGAAAGTCTAGCCGTTTGCAGATATTATTACAAAGGCAGCACTTTCTCCTCAGTTATTTAAAGACCCTGAGTGTTGGTCCGGCCGGGGTTTGAACCCGCGACCTCCCGCTCAGTAGACCGGCGCTCTCCCAACTGAGCTAACCAGGCTTTCTCTAGTGCTGGTGGATGCTGCTGACAGATCTTTCGTCAAAGGATGAAGCAGTGAGTGTCGAGGTCAGGCGAAATACTTTAGCACTGGTCACTACACAGACTTGACCAAAACCAGAAACCATGCATGAAAAGTCTCTGGCACCCATGGGTACTCCTAACTCTAATTTATCAATAGTTGGGCCTCAGAGACAAAGGAAATTGAGAATCAACCAGGGTTAAAAAAATTTTAATCTGAATTTTGAACTACAGTAATAACATTTACACTTACCTTGCATATAAATCTGCCAGATTTGCAGCAGACTCACACAGCAATTTCTTTATTTTCTTTCTCTTTTTGTCCTCTTGGCCAGTCACACTAGCCAAACAAAGGTTTCTTAGAAACATGTGCTGCTCACAAACAAGATGTTGGTATGCCTGTGAATTGTGCTTCTGACATCGGCTTGCTAATGGCATCTGCAAAATGTGAAAAGTATTATCAACATCATTTCACCCCATACAAGGTAATCTAAGACAGTCCTACACTGTGGATTCCAGAATCTAGGTACTACATTCCAGATTCCTTTTAAAGCAGGACTCCAGATTCCTCGAGTTAAAGTAGATTACAGATTTGAAAGCCCAGAATATCATATTCCACAAGCAAAAATTTCCCTGATTTCAGAATCCCGATTACCTCACAAGGTGTGAGTAATTTGCTTCCACATCTACTGTGGACAAAACATCCAAACATCTTCAAGGACATCACATACCACAGCTTTGTACAGTTGTGTTGATTCCATGTTCTGCAAAACATACACTGTCCAGTCTGGTTTACTGCTGTCTCCTTGTTCCTGTTGAGGCTTTGGTAGCCTACTTCTAAAACTTGAAAATTCAAGAAACAGGAGAGTAAGGAAAAAAGTGTTAACATTTTTAGTCTGTGAGCAAACTCTTTATTTCTGGTGAAAGAAGGGAGCCACAAGAGAACCGTGAGGGCAAACTATTCCTTTTCTTTCCCTGCCCTTTTCTGTGCCACTCACGCATGACTTCTCACAACTTCCCCAGATGCAGAGCTTGCTCGCAGGTTTTAACATTTTGAGCTCCTATACTAAGAGGGTTATTCTTCATGCTATTTTATATGAAATCCTCTGCACAACGTCTCCCATTTTTTTGGATAAACTTGTCCAGGGTTATAAAATAATTCCGTCAGGGTACTGGGACAAGTGGATTTTCTTGCTGGGCAAGTTAGTAACTTAGCTTACTTGCCCAGTGGGCAAGGGGGCAAGGGTGCAGGAAGAAGTGGCCCAATATGAGGGCTGCTTGCAAGAAGGACAAGCTAGAATTTAAGTTTTCGCCGAGCCTTAGGTCCGGTTCAGACGCCGAACTTTTCATGAGCTGAACCTAATTCGAATTAAGGCTGACCCAAATTATTTAGACCGGCTGAATTGATTCGGACGCCGATCTTAATTCCAGGCGAACTAAATTCAAAAGGAAAAAAATGGTCATTTTGGTCAAACTACTTACAAATACGTTATAATAATTTGTGCATTAGGTTCAGTACATGAAAATTTTGGCGTCTGAATCAAAGCCATTCCAAAGTTGCTCCAAAGGCAAAATTCCCAGCCGGGTTAGGTGAAAAGAATGGCTGAGCTGTTCCAAATTGAAACAGGCGTTCCTAATTGATTCAGATGCCAAACTTTTCATGTACTTAATTCAATGTATTAGGTTCAGCTCATGAAAACTTCGGCATGTGAACCAGGCCTTATTGTCCTTAAAAAAAACATGTTTTACCACTTATCACCTTTTGCTTCTTTGCAAGGCATCGTGTGAAGCTCTTGTTAACAGCACAACACGTTCTTCAGTAGCCAACACATACTGAGAACCAGCAAATGGGTACATGCCAATCAAACAGATGTCAAGAGATGATGGAGGGCATCTCTGAAGAAAAATAAAACAGACAAGCTTAGTTGGAAGAATCCTGCTGCAAAACCCTCATAAAGACCCTTCTGACAGTTCAGAACAAAAGTTGTTTTCCCTCTGTTCACCTCGAATAAAATAATAAAATCCTTATTTCAGTCTGGATTGTAAAAGTTGAATGTGTGAACTCAAATCCCAATCCTTGACAATACTATTAACATGAACTGATGGACCATGCAGCAATGATGAACAGAAAATGGTAGAAAATGGTAAAATCTGAGACTTGCCAAGACATCAAGACCCTTGTTTAAAAATCTTAGACATTGACGGCAAACATAAAAGGCTCAGAGGCAGAAATAAGGTCATGAGAAAGATACTGTGGGTCTCATCACAAATGCACCAAGATCATGGGGTCAAATTGTCAGTTCGCAAAACCTAGAGAAAAATTGAAGGGAGCCCAGTGCTCTGAACATATGAAATCCAGTGTGCCCAGCATAGGATTTCTATCAATGAAAAAGCTGAAGATTTCCTAGTCACCCAAGAGAAAAAGTCACGCGCCAGGGGCCCCAGAAGCTGCTAGCTTGCAACCCTATATCCGAACACTACATATTTAACCTACCTGTCGCAAACTCTCTAGATCAAAAACTGGCAAAGTCCATCCACTATCATTGGTAAGTTTATTCATAGCAGCAAAATAAGCTGTTTCACTCAGTTTAGTACCAGAACTACCACTGAGACCCAAGCTCGCTGAAGCAAATGTTCTTGTGCTCTGAACTGTCTCATTCTCTGTACTACTTTCACTGTCATTTTGACCCTCTTTCATTGCTAATGCAGGCGATGGGGTCCTGCTTCTTGAAGTGAATCTAACAAGTGTTCTTCCTGAGTTGTCAACAGTAAGTGTGACATCTGAAGGCGAATCGCTTGGCAACAGCTCTTTAGAAATTTCCATTTCAGGTGGTTTTGAGTTGTTACAAGAAGTTGAATCTACAGACTCAAAGTCTGAAACATTAGAGTCACTTTCTGATAAGGGTAGATCATCATTAACAGTGCCTGTGGCAGTTTTTTCATTTTCCTCTAGGTCAACACGTTCATCTGTCTTGCACGATACACTTATTGGTTCAACACTTTTCGGGAAGACAGCAACAGAGCTGATGTTTGAGTCACTTGCTGATGAGGGTAGATCATCAGTTACAATGTTTGTGGCAGTATTTTGAGGTTCCTCTGGGTCAACATGTCCATTTGTCTTGCAAACTACACTTGTTTCTTCAACCCTTTTGAAGGAGATGGCAACAGAGATGTTTGAGTCACTTGTTGATGAGGGTAGATCATCAGTTAAAATGTCTGCAGCATTACTTTGATGTTCCTCTTGGTCAATATGTCCATTTGTCTTGCAAATTACACTTGCTGGTTCAACAATTTTGGAGGAGACGGCAATAGAGCTGGTGTTTGAGCCACTTGCTGAAGAGGGTAGATCAGTTACACCGAAGGCAGCAGTATTCTGAGGTTCCTCTTGGTCTACATGTCCATTTGTCTTACACACCTCTCTTGTTGGTTCAACACTTTTTGGGAAAACAGCAACAGAGCTGGTGTTTAATGTAGCCTCATCACAGCTACCAACCAAAAACTCCACATCACTTTTACCTCGCAAGTCTTGACAGTTTTCTTCAGTCCTTTTCATCATGTTAACTGTGACTTCCAACTGATCTAGAGAGCTGTGCCGTTGATCAAGTTTAACGTCAACAACTGCATTTCCTCTAACCCAATCAGAAGCCGCAGCATACATCCTCACAGTGTACGTCTCAATTCCCTGTCGGGTTATTGCATGTAGCAGACCACTGCACGCTGATACACTGATTGTATCGCATGTATACTTGTAATAAGAGAGCAGCTTACAGGAGCCAAAAACATCATAGAGAAATCCTTCTTTAGGTCCCGAGATGAGGCAACACATCCCACACAGTGTGGGATCTGAAGGACTTTTTGATACTAGTGGAGATTTCTGCAATTCCTTTATATGAGGAATCCCTGAAAAATAATATTAAAATACTGGTGTCAGTTAAGAAGCAAACTATAGCTTGGCCTTTCTAAGAGTCTCATGCATTTTGTCAAGGTGTATTATCAAACACGTCTTGTACTGAATTGCATATTTTTAAATAATATACAAAAAAATGTAGTAAATTTAAATACATGTTTTGCACCCCCAACCTTCTCTTAATTTTTAATTTAATTTAATTTAATTTAATCCATTTTCACTGCATACAATAATGAATCAAACACAAGACAGCAGTGGGGAAGGACTAATAGGGAACAGTAGAACCATACAATGTACAAGCTAGTCCACCCAAATTTAGATAACAGGAAAAATTAAAACTTAATTTTTGGAAAAGCTTAAGAACATAGGATTTATCCCAGGGGGGCTGGTGGTGGGGGGTACTCGTGGGAATTCTTGGTGGGGGTGTGCCGCCTGGTTATACAAATCATGACCCTATTTCAGTGCCAAAAATGTCATTTTTCACACCTGTTTTCAGAAATGGCCTCTATTAACTCAATACAAGTTTCTGAAGTGGCCCAGTGTTCTCACCAGGATTTTGCCTTGGGGAGTCCCAGGGCCCCCTCTTCTGAGAAATAGGGGCCCTGTAAGAACATTAGGGGGACAAAGTTACAAAAAACACACGGTACGAAGAACCTGAGCCCGCACTCCAAATTGTCTGTCACATGAAGTACCTACCTGATCCAATATGGCGGAAGAGGTGTTTACGATTCGGAGGAGGAGTTTACGATGTAGTGGGACGTGCGTGGGACCAATGAAAGTAAAGGCAACAAAATTACAGACTTTGGCTCATTTGATATCATGTTCTTTATTTATTCAAACAAACAGAATGTTTTAGTGTTAGGTTGACCATTAAAACTACTTAAGTCCGTTTGACTCGTAGCTTGCCCCAGCACCCTAACGGGCGCATCTTCTTGGTTTTAATGCACCATTTCAGTTCTTCTTGCGGGAATCCTGCAAGGCCGCGGCCTGTTGAGAACACTGCGTGGCCTCTAAGAAATTATGTCGTCATTACTTAGCAATACATGTAAATTAAAATGGCAACAAAATAGATTTCTTGAAACCCATTTTGGATTTTTATATTTCTCTTTCTTTCTTATTCATTTGAAATTTAAACGATATCATGATGATACATACACTCTTGTAGTTCCCTCACAGTTCAAGGAACAGTGCAAGGAGGGAGAAGAAGGGGCCGACAAAAGAAGCATTCATTTGGGAGAATAATGTCTCTGAGTGGACAGGGTTGAAGTTTTGCAACGCCCTAAGAGAAGCTGAAAACAAAATCAAATGGAGGGAGAGGGTTGCTATGTCCATGGTGCCCCAATGGTCACCATGACTATGGGATAGGTGCAGGTGCAGTTCCCTCAAAAACCATAACCAATTCCAGACCAAAAGGGGCAAAGTCTATGTTTGTTTTCGGACCAAAAGGGTGAAAACAACCTACCCTTTAAACCGGCACATGTCCATTGGCTTATATAAGGGAGTGCCCCTTCCCCTGGGGGAATCATGTCATAAGGAGTTGATGGGACTGTTGTTGACATTGACTGACATTGGGACAACCTTTGCAAACGTCAGTCATTGTCACTCAAAGCCAGTTCTGATTTGTCAGCAGATGGTAACGCCTGCACAGGTTTTCAAAATGTTAACTCACTGTCAACAACAGTCCCGCTCAGGGCTTCACTAACCTAGACAATGACATCTTACTCTCTTAGGAGTTTCAAAGTAGTAGCATAAGTGTGCAAAAGAGAAAAGAGGCGAGGGATTTTCTTTGGAGAGTTGACCTTCATTGACAGCCCTGCCAAAGTACAAAAAGACAAAACTCACCTTGTGTATATGTTGGGAGAAGCTGCAAAGTGTGAAGAGTTGCTGCATCATTGCCATCATTACTTAGCTGCTCAGCTCTGAACCGTCGATACAGCATGGTTACTCCTTTCACCTTTAACATGGGTCTATCCACAGCAATACCAATACCAAAGAGCCCACCAAATACCACAGTCACAGGGTGCCCAGGTACATCTGAAACTGGCCCCAGTACTTCTTTACATTCTGGTAAGCAGTCTTTAAACACCTTTTCCTTTCTTATGGTTGGAAACATAAAATCTTGATCTGGTGACTTCACAGAGGGTTGTTTAGATGAAACGAATAATAGCGAACAATCATCAAATGACCACAACGTACAGTCGTCATCATTAGCTTGATTATAGTCCTGGGTTTGATCTACATGTCCAGATGTTGTTGCCCTGTCAACAAGGAAATAGTTCCATCCATAAATTACACAGTCAATTCCCTCTTACTGCCAGACTGCTAAAAGAACACCTCCTCAAAATAGACTCCCGCTGGTTTGATCCCTACCATTTTCCAGTTTTCCCAGTCAAAGCATTATGATCCATTATGACTATAGTAAGAAACAACCTCTCTCGTAATGAACTACCATTTTTGACACTTTTGGTGGTGGCTTACCGGAGGTTCAAATTTAGATGTAAATTAAAAGGTTGTAGGAGGTGTTGCGAGACTTAGGTGCAGGGTTTCTAAGTGCCACCTGTTCATCAAGGGGGTGGGGTGGTGGGGGGGGGGGAGATAATTTTCATTTCATGGTTTCAACAACAAGTGACCTGATCTCAAGATACACATGTAGGCAGTTTGTTGAATAGCAAAAGTATGTGTCAGGGTGGGGAGGGGAGTAGGAAGGTGATAGACTGCTGTTTTAAGGCATACCTATTTTGCAAAGTTGCACTGTGGCTGGACAGCTTTCCTCTTCCACTTGGGGGCATGGACTCTCGCTCCAACATGAAAACCAGCTTGATGACTTGCACATCTAAATTTGATCTTAGGGCTAAATATGAATCACTCAATGCCAGGCCTTTTATAGACATACTTGGCTCAATGTCTAAGAAGTGTTCTAGGTCACATGACAATGTACCAGTATTGAATCCGTCAGATTGCGGATATCTGTTCCACCTAAACAAGCTGACTCTGGTCTCACCAGCAATAGCAACATTACCGCTTGTAGGACAACAACAAATATCACTAACATTAAATTGAGTTGGAATTTCTAGGGCAAGAAATGCCTTTGCAGCTTCCTCAGCCTCCTGGCTTTGTTTTAGAGAATGCCCTGCCACATACGTGCGTACGGGTTCCTCTAGATTAGCTTTGAACCAGTTGAAGTACGCTCGGGAATGAGTCGACGCAGTTCGACGTGATCTTCGTCTCTCCGTTTTCCTTTCGATAGTCAAAACGCATTTTGCTCTCTCGTTGCAGATCAAAGTTACAGGTTTGGAAATGGTAGGAAACTGGCAAAACAGAGGGAAATTCGGCAGCTCGAGCGAGTAAACCAACACTTTCATTTCTCCCGTTGCAAGAAACAGATAGTCTTTTGTTGAAGTGATGGATGTTGGTTGGAAGGAATCGAAGAAAACTCTTTGAGATTTAAAGTAGTGAAACAAAAGAACTCGCACCATTTTGATAAGGTGGAAGAACAATCAGAATTGAACAATCTAACTTCTCAACTTTGTAACGCGAGTACAATTTCCTGTCAAAAAATCCGCCATCTTTGCAATGAAATAATCGAGAGGAAACTGGAACTAGTTTTATAGTACGGGTCGGGAAGGGTCGGGTGGGTGAGGAGGGGATGATGAATTCCTCACAAAATGTTGCAAATTTTTATCATTATTTTCTTGATGTACTTGTAACTTTCCATAAAATAAAACATTTTAACTTAATTTTAACTTAATTTTAATATAAAGTTGTCTTTGCAGAATTTTTGCGCTAAAATGTAGTTTAGTCTACTGGTCCTTGCCTTTCCCTCCCGTCCCTAAATTTTTTTTCTCAACGCGTGTGACATTCACGAGATCTCTCGGCACAAGGGAGAGAAGGTACAGCTGTTTTCGGTGAGCAGGTTTCCATTTTTTGTGCAAAACCACATGTGTAAAGACACGTGTTTTCTCTCAGACATTCTATTTATATTTAGTTGACTACGAGTAGCTATTTAATAACGTTCATTATTATAATTAAGCGTAACAACCTCAATTCTCGATGCAATTTTTGAAAAAGATATTTGATAAGGTCAGAACTTAAACAATGTCAAAAACGTCGGTAGACCATTTTGCAGTTTTGGGCTTGTCCCTGTCTTCGAGTGAATGTGAGGCTAAGGTTGACCTTGTTTTGATTCAAACCTCATTTATATTCTTATGGAAAAAATATTTATGCATGAAAAAAACTAGTTAGCATAAGATCAACATCATTTACATCGGAAGGCAGGATTGGTTGTATCAAAACAAGGTCAACTTCAGCTTCGTTTCTATCTATAACTGTAAAATAGGCTATTAGTGTTATTAACTTACTGCAAGGATAGGGAAGGAATGTTAGAATAGGTACGTGTAGCTGGGGTGGAGCGAGGGCAGCGTCAATCAAAGGCTCAGTTTTTTAGTTGTGTAAATGTGATTGATAAAGCAGGCATTGCAAGAGGTTATTGGCAGAGAGAAGATATTGTTGGTTTTCACATGACGTCACTAAAATTCAAACTACAAAACTATCGATCGTACTGAGATTTTACTTTCACAATGTATTAGAGCAGCTGATCGTGCGCACAACCCATGAAGCACTTCCTTAGTAACAACTTGGAGACGACTGGGAACGAGTCTGTCCTCAAGCCTCTTTCTCAAAATGAGGGTACTAGTGGAAAGCCTTTGATATGAATGAAATTGAAACAAACACAGTAGCTGTTTATTTATATCTATTTATTTTCTCTTGAAAAGGACCATGCACAGAGTGTATTTTTATGGATAATTTGGATTAGTCAATTTTTGAGAGGATCACAGAAGGTGCTTGCAGATGACATCTGAAGATGCAGGATTCTTAGTCCTGCAGAATCTAAGTCGCCCAGCAGTTAAAGGTTTTGCTGAGTTTTGCAGCAGTTCTTTAATTGCACATAGAAATAAAGGGTTAAGTGAAGGCCTCAAAGTTTCCTGCACAAAGCTACAGTACACATATCCAGTAAGAATTTCTACTAATAAAAGTTAGATTTAGAGGTAGCAGATCCACAGATAATCTTATAATCCTAACCCCAAATTTTGCCCAATCGCATCTTTGGCATCCTACATCTCGTGTATATTTTCAATCTCAAATCTCTGCACCTCCAGTTGGCTTTAAAATCCCAAATCGTGGCTTTCAAAGAAGGTGAATTCTGAATCCCAATAAACCTTTTGGGGACATGCACTCTCTCAGCTTTTTGCTACTCGCTTAGTATATATATACACTCGCTTTTCGGGCCAATTTTTACATAGAAAAAGATTGTTTTGCCGTGTTTGGATGCAATAATGATTGCCTTTTTCCTGAGAAATATACAGTGAAGTTCTCCTTTTACCCAAAAAGCACATGTAAATACTGAGTGGGTGCCCCTTAGGCATCCCATAATACTCCTTAAATCTATTAAATTTGATATGTCCGTCCGCGTATTGGTAAAAAGGTCTCTTAAACTTGCTTTCAGATTTATCAAAACAAACTTTGGACAAATGTTGCTTGGCCTGCAAATATCTAACGTTCTAACCCTTCATCATCATTGTTCGTGTATAGTTACATTCCTCCATATGTGTGTTGCTTCCGTTACTCTGTACATGTGTATTCTTATAACTGCTCCTCATATTTTGCAATTTAAGTTTTTTGTTGGAGGTACCTATTTTAATATTTTATTTATAATAATTATATTGCACTTTTTTTAACAGTTAAAGTTGCTCATTGCAAGCCGTGCATCATCAGTACCAAGCTGTCAGTGGTTGTACATCATAACATTTGGTGGTGGACTTGTTGAGGGAGACAATGTCTGTGTTGATGTCAAGGTTGGAGAGTTATCTACGGTAGTTGTTACCACACAAGCTTCAACAAAGGTATGTTACACTGTAATCAAGCTATTTTATACCACATTTCCTCAAAGAAACTAAGCACTTATTTTAAAATTCTTACTATCTTTGTAGAATTTTTTGCTCATTGAAGGGGCTGCTTATTCAAAGGGTGCTTTAATCTATGGACAGTAAGAGGGAAGGCTTGACTGGATATTTTTTAATCCATTTATTATCGGTGAATGGGTTGAACCAAGGATTCATTTCATAAGACCATCCCATTTTTTTTTTGTTTAGCATCGAATGCATTCCCTGATATTGGGTCGGTTGGTTGGATTGAAAAAAAAAACTAAAAAAAAAAATCGGAAGAAGTCTCAGAATAGGAGGCCCTGGTACCTCAGGACGACGTTAAAAGTTAACATTCACACATTTGGATTAACAAAGTGCATAATGTACTGTAAAAAATGTTCCTGTTTTTGTTCCTGTTTTTCTCTATGCTGTTACTATGCTCATTTTTCAGATTAAAAGAATTATTTCAAGTGAAAAATGGTTTAACTACGTCGCTACTTTTTTTTGAAAACGCCAAAAATTTGGGTTGGTTGGACGACACTAAACAGAGAAAAAAAGGGGATGGTCTAAGAAAATGAAATACTTTGTGATTTTATCTGGGTGAAGTCCTTGATAAGACTGTAGATAACAGTGACTTTGCGACAACTTTTGTGGTAGTCATCTTCAGAGGCAAAGTGAGTTATATCAAAGTGAGATGTCATGGAAAGTGGGTGTGACAGGGATGGGTCATAGGCTGGATTTGAACCAGTAAGTTTATTTGCTAAGTGAACATTTGTCACCAGCATTTGTTCAACTACCTTTGTCCTGTAGGTTTATAACTCTGATGAGGGGTTTGTCACAAAGCAAGGACTACGTGGTCATGTTGCTAATGGAGGGTTATTGGCAGTACTTCCAGATCCTGTGGTCTGCTTCAAGAATGCAATGTACAATCAACAGCAGGTACATGTAGTTCTGCCACATTATTAATGTACAATGAGTTGAGATATATCTTATGTCTAAAAAGGAGAGCTTTTTTAATTCATAATGGTTACTTGGGGTGCAAGGGATGGTACAGAGGTGAACGGAGATCATTCACCTCCTACCAATGTGGCCCAAACTCCTGGCATTCAGATGCCATGTGTGGCTTGAATTTGTTGTTGAATCAGTCCCTTGCTCCAAGAGGTTTTTCTCCAGGTGCTCCAGTTTTCCCCTCTCTTCAAACCAACACTTCCAAATTCCAATTCAATTTGGAACACAAGTACATGTTTAAATGAGTTTTAGGAACTCTTGGATAAACAAATTACAATTACAAATACTTGGAATGCCGTATGAATTTGTACAAAATGTTTTATCTTATAGATGAAGTAATGGATTTAGGTACTTATTTCTTGTTACGTACTTGTTGCCTTCATTAATATCATTGCAGGATTTTAAACTGACTTCAAATGGCAGCGTAGTTGTTCTTGACTGGTTTACTGCTGGGCGCATGGCTCTTGGAGAAGTCTGGGATATGACAAGGTAATTATGTGGACACCTTTCCATGACAGATAGTTTTCTTGGTCCAAACTTTTATGCCTTCCCTATATCCATAAAATATGGACATCTCATGATACAGACATTCACCTTGTACTCTGACAGAACTCCCTGGATGGTTTCATTTTCAAGGTGTCCCAGGGAGGAGGGGGGGGGGCTCCTATATAAAAGTGATAGGGATGCTCGTGGGAAAATTTAAATTAAACCCCTAAGGGAGACCAATGTGGGTTTGGCTGAAGATTTAACTGAGCCTTAAGGGTCAGTGTCACGGCATTTTTTGTAAATTTCGTTATGCACATTACTAAGTGACACCTGAATGGGAAAATATAGTGACTTTCCATTCCAAACACCCTAATTGAGACCAAAATTTGCTTTTTACACCCTAAAGTGAGATGAAGAGCATCCCTGTCACTTTTATATGGGAGGGTCCCCCCCGCCCAACAGGTCAGGGTGTTTGACTGTAAATTCTAACAGTATAAAAATCAAGGATTCTGTGTTAAAACATTCCCTGCCCCACCTCTTTTTCTTGTTGGCGAGAATGGGATATCTTTACGTGGAGCAATATTAATTGATATTTAAATTCAAAGTGAGGAATTTGCACTTTCAGCGTGCAAAGAAAATTGTGTCCAATTCCCTGGGACTAGTGGATTTTGCTATCGGGCTGGTGAATTCTGTTCTTAATATGCCCGACAGGCAATTGAAGTTTTTCGGGGAGATTCATATATTTACAGCAAAACGTTACTGTACTGCAGCTTGCAGTAATGGCAAGCTATAAACTGACTTTCTTTCCACCCAGACTTTATGTGACAAATTCCTCATGAATACTTAAATTATATGCATGTGCACCATCTGGCTTTTATTTATTTATTTTGTTAATGATCTGAATTATCAGAATTTGTTGTTGTGAGATACTAGAAGGCTTTTAATAAACATATTACCAGCCAATAATTTTAATGTTGTTTTATGAGTGTTAATTTGTTTTCATCAAAATCTAGTTACAAGAGCCACAATAGGGTGTTTGTCAATGGCAGACTGGTTTATGGAGATTCTGTTAGTTTTGGCAGTGCAAACAGATTCATGTCTTTGAAGGAATCTATGTCTGGCTCAATGGTATTGTAATTCTTCATGACGATAGTTTACTGTACTGTATCAAATCATTGATAGTTATTACCTTGTAATTATTAAATTGGATCATTCTTTCCTTCTGGGTCTAATTAATACCTTGAAAACAAATAATTATACCAGTATGTACACTGTACATTTTGAATTCCCAAATAGTTTGTCCTCAATTTCCCAAAATACTTCTCATGGTTTTCGGAACATATTTTTTCAGCTATTTTTAGCGGGTCATGTATATACGAGAAATGCAAAGCATAATTTGATACTACCAAAACCTAGGACTATTGTGGCAAAAAATGCTTTCAAGTTTTCGGCAGCCAGGCGCTGGAATGAAGTGCCAAAAGACATCAAAGAGGCCCAGTCAATAAGAACATTTTTGCTAAAACTTAACGTACCTTTCGTGACCATAATCTTTGTAAATATTGTTTGTAAGTAGGACTTTCTAGAATTATGTATATTTAATTTTTATGTCAATTTTACTTTTTTATTTTTTGGATGTTCAATTTTTTGTTGAGGGCCATGTACGTATATAATCTGTGGATATCAAGTGAAACCCCATTGAAAAAAAGTATCTATCCACGTTTGTATATATCTAGAGTGGAAGGCTGATTTTGAAACATGCTCCAACTATTGGAGGGGCAACCCTTGGTATTTACTTCGTGCTAATCTGAGGGGGGCATTGGGATTTTCGGTTTTGCGGTTTTGGCTATTTTTTAGATGGGTTTTTCGGTTTTTGTTGCAAAACACTTCGGTTTTTCGGTTTTGGTGGTCATTGTGGTTTGCGGATTTTTCGTTTTTTAGCATCTGGTTTTCGGTTTTCGTGAAAAATACAAGCGGTTTTTCGGTTTTGGTACCCGATGTGGTTTTTGGTTTTTCCTATTTTGTCCTATTTTGGGTTCCGGTTTCTGTTCGATTTGAGCACACAGCTCTCGAATAGCCGCGAAACGCCAAAGTTATTTAGAGGAATGCGTGACAAAAGAAATGTCATGGTAGGGTATCAAGCGTCTCCCTTGACGCCCGGCGAGCCTTTGACCTCGCAGACCAGGGCGACCATTTGGTCAGTTTGCGAGCTATGGCTTCCGTGCCTCCCGCGCCAGCAACGAAAGAAGCAATTGTGGATTGTGTTGCGTTTTTTTACGAGGAGGGGAGTTATCAAATGGTAATGTTCGATTAGAGATTTTCGATTGAAATTTCCAGAGCTATAGCTTTTTGCGACTGCAAAATTGCAATTCTAAAGAGTACTGGTGTGCAAATTCTCCTAAGTTAACTAGGCTCCATAACTAGCGGCTTTTCGGAAATTCAGCTGCAAAGTCTGGGCTCGAGAGAGCGGCAGAAACAAAGCCTATGATTTAAGCAGACACAAAAAGATACGAAGGCTTCAGACAAAGTCCATGACATTCAAAAATACTTTGGTGAAATTAGTGTTAGTTTAGTTTGCTCTGTATGCCCCACTTGTCACCATTGTATCGGTTTTTGACAGTTTTGTCTGTGGTTTTCGGTTTTGGCTGAATTTTTTTGCGGTTTTGCGGTTTTGGATGATTTTTTTCTTCGGTTTTGCGGTTTCTAATATACCCCAATACCCCCCTCTAATCTGTAAATGATACCACTAAAAAAACTAATTTAAAAAGTATATTCAAGTCACCATTGGGGAGGGCTTAAAAGAGCGGGCCAGACCACCCTCAGAGGCCCAGGGGCAGTCAGTCAAGTGCTTGAAAACTGTCATCGCGCCTTTTCTCCAGACCCGACTGACTGCCCCTGGGTCTCTGACGATGGGGCCTGACTAGCATTCATTAGGTTTCTTAGAGAGGTTACAGCAGGAGTAGCTGCATGTCCCCCTTGGGGTCTGTTCCTTTTGCTGCCTTTAGCGTCTTTTACGTGCTGTTTAAAAAAGGAGCAGGGGTGTATTATCAGGTTTAAAAACTTGAGATGCAGCCGAAAGTTTTTAAACCTGATAATACACGACTGCGAGTTTTTTGAATGGCTTCAAAATCTCTGATATAGATCAACTCGTTCTTGCACTAATTTATTTAGATTTGGAGTTATTTTGGTCTAAAAAATTGGACGTAAAGTTTAGCTGTGTTTTTATCTGATATAAAGACACTCATTAAACCCTTTTTTGTTTTGTTTTGTTTTTTAATTATGAATTATTAATGAGTTTTTTAAATATTATTTCAATTCCCTGCAGGTGCAAGGAAGCTGTGTTTTCATTGGGCCATATTTTAAAGAAATTAAGAAAAAAATCTTGAAGAAAGTCAATGAAATGACAAGTAAGATAGCTCAAGTGTTACTTCTCAAATAATTCTCTAGTAATTGACTAATTATTATATTAATAATAAATGATTATTATTAATATTTAATAAAGGTTCATTTCTGATTTTTTTTTGCCCCCTCAGAGTGCACTGGTATGGACTCGACAAGGAAGAAGGTGATGGCTTTCGCTAGTATCATAGACCCCGCCCTGTGTGATGGAGTTATAGTCAAACTGATTTCCACACAAAGCACAGAGCAGGTATGTACATCAATATCAAAACCTAATTTATTTGTTTGTTTTCTTCTGAAGTAGTAATTTGCATCAAGGAGCACACTTCTAATAATGATTATAATTCCATGCTTGATTGCTTCCTACACATTTTTCATATTGGTTCAAGAAATGACAGGCATTATTACTCCATTTTGTTATAACTATTCATGTTATACTTTAGTGGAGTAGGAGCAATTAACCCTTGCTTGATTGAAATACATTAACTGAAATTGTGCAAAAACTATCCTGATGGGATCATTGCCATTCCATGGTGTGACAGTTTGCGTGACTTCTTATGACCCTGAAAGCAATGTCAGGTGGAGTTTTGTACTCCAGGTTGGCCACCCATGCCGAACAGGTCAAAGGGTAGAGGATCAACTAGCCCTCCAGTTTGCAGTTAGGCAGTGGGCTACATGTAATAACCCTCTCTCATAAAACTCCTTATTTTGGAAACCGAAACCAGAGTTGACACTGCACCCTAGCTTTGATAATAATATTATTATTGTGCCACTGCTCAAAATAGAGTCACATGGCAAGCATAAGTGGAAGAGCTATGTTCTCTCAGGAACAAACAGAACAAGTGATGATGACAACACCCAAAAACTGAGGATTTATAAAATCAGGGGGAAAATTTATGCAAACCACACTCTGTTGTATTCTTTTATTCTTTTGTGCTTGTATTCTTCTTAAACCCACAAAAAACCTCTGAACTGCGCTTTTGAGGCAACACCCTTGTAAATTCAACATAGCCCGGCCTTATACATCCCAGCCTGTTCAATTTTTTTCCTATTAGTACGTTAACATCAAGACTAAGGGGAGTAAATTTCTCTTTCAGGCCTACTCTTTCTTCAGAACAATCATTGAAGACATTGTGCCAAGACTGGGAGGAAATCCACTCATTAAATGAAAAAATACTTAGATTTTTAATACAACTACCTCTTACCTCCCTGTCACTGGAACATTTTGTGAGAAAGGTGTCTGAGTTACAGACGTTTCCCAAGCAGTGACAGCTGAGAATGAGGGATCTGTATTCACAGTTATGAAAATACTCCATATTTTTAAAAAACTTTTTTATCAGTAATAAACATCTGTTTTTAACCTTCTACAATGAATCACAAAGTTGAATAATGTAATATATCATTTAAGTCACTTTTTTATATATGCTTTACAGCTTTTTTGTAGGCAGTTAAAATATGATCTGCTATCTCTTTAACACCAACTAAGTGTTTTGCTTGTGAAAAAATGGTTGGTCCCCCTTGGCGCATCATAGCTGATTCACGCTCCATGACCTAATAGGGAAAGTGAGAAAAGAAAAGATTTTTCAATGTTTTGTTCTAGAAATCAGGAATACCAAGGGGGTCTGTCCCAGGTGGAACTATTTTACACTTAACGCCACCTGACCCACCCTTGCTGTTAAAAAAAAACTTTTCCTACTGGCTCATATATGATGATGCATGCTATAGGTTGAATTTTAAGTCTGCAGAAAAATCCTGTGATCTTTCAAAGGAAAGTCTCTTTTTCTGTAACATTTATACAACATTATATACTCAGATGTAGTCTGAAATGTCAGCTGTGTCCATCCCCTAACCCATAAAGGAGGGGGGGGGGGGGGTGCAGGAGAGAGACAATTTAGATTATCATGTAAGTGAAAGTGTTTTAAAATGATATACCTTAAGATCTGCTCCTACAGCTTCTGCCAAATCAGTTTTGTTCACAACCAACAGGTCACTTTGTGTGATCCCTGGGCCTCCCTTGCGAGGAACTTTGTCACCTCCTTGATAAGGGAACATCACGCAGAATTAAGAGAAAAAAAAATTGTGTAAGCTATATAATTATGGGAGGATCACACTCTCTCTAGCTTTCCCAGAAAGTATGTTCTGAAGTCATCAAAATTAATGTCATACTGGCTGAATTATTAAACACATGGGCGGAGTTAAGATGGAGTCAAAGAAGCACCCACTGCCCCTCCACACATTCCCTTTGCCTGTAGGTTTCTATTTATTTGTTTACTGTAAATCTCTTCAAGTCTATTTCTACAGCCTGAGGACAAAGACTACATGCCCCTTGAAAACTTTTTAAAATCTATAACATCTATGAACCCAAATAGCTCAATGATTGCCGAATCATCTGTTGGTGTAACGTCAGGTTATTTGGATGAAGTTGATATACTTGTTTAACACAAGTCTCGAAGTAAACATTGCCTTGCCTCATCTTAATCGTCCATGAAATTAAATATGCATGACATACCAACCTGCAACATCAATGACGTAGATGATGTAGTCAGCCAGTTCTCTGCTGTAGTTAGCGGCAAGATTGTCTCCACCTGACTCAATTATCACCAAGTCCGGTTGGAATGTTTTTGTCAGTTCTTTAACTTCCTCCATGTTTAATGAAAAGTCCTAGCAAAACAATCATGTGTAACCTGTAATGTTATGCTTCCTTTCAAAGTTTGTAAACAATATTGTGGGGGTTTTTTGATTCAACATTAATATTTTATTTTCCCTTGTACAGTAGGTTTGGCATGTGTGACAATGACTTTGTTTATGGGTGTGGCTGTATGATTAAAATAAATTTAAACCAAAGATAGAATTGAACATCCACATGTTAATTACAGCAAATAATATAGTGATATCGTCTCTCTTAGACAACCACTAACATTGCTGCCTGCTGGTAATTGACCAATAATGGTTAAAAACCATTGATGGTTAAATACCATCAACTGATGATACACAACTCTCTTTGTCTCCAAAGATCACTTAATCACACAGGTTGTTGGAAATATGCCAGTTACAGTATCAACAACAGCTATATAGGAGTAAACCTAGCCTGTTCCAGGCTCCAAAATAGTAATGGGCGGAGAAAATGAAAACTGATACAAAAAATGAACGGGGGTTGGAGAGAGAGAAGACGGCCCTTATCCAGATCATGCGCATCCTATTTTCCATTGAAATTGTTTTCACCATGTCTCTTACTATCTGAGAACCTGGCATAGGCGAGGCTACACCCCACAAGATCAACCCCTTCCTTCCAAACATTGTGCCAGTGATTGTAAGAAGTGTGAAAGGCCATCATACCTCTCTTATAGCAGCATGTGGACATCCACCTGTCTCCACAGCCCTCATTCTTTCCTCTGGCAAAGCTTCATTTTTCACTAGAAATTCCCAATCTTCCCTTGAAGCAAAAATCAAGGAATAGGCTATTTGCATAATGGCATCATTTTACTTCTATAACCAGAATCCTTCAGGGTATTGCTTTCTTGTGCAAATTAGATCTTTTGTTATTTAAACGTCACTGAGGTTACCAAATTTGAATATGAAAGAAAAAACAAAAAGAATTATGGTTGTAGTGGTAAAATGATGCAATTATGCAAAAGGCCTATTTGCAGTCATTGCAAGTGTTTTAGGGCATGTCACTTTACCAAAACAACTTGAACTAAATGTTTCAGGGATAGCAGTTACACCTATTCTTTGCTCACCTAGTAAAGATGTCATTTGTAACAACACAGACTCCGTAAGAATCCCTTAAATGTCTACAAAGTGCCAGCACTAATGCAGTTTTACCAGACCCAACTGGACCTCCAATGCCAACAGTGAATGCCCTCTGAAAAATAAAATTTAAAAGTCATCCTAGCTAAAATTCCTAAAAAATAATGCTAGACATTTCAATCCTAGCTAGAGACATGTTTAGTGTGAGTGTATGGAATCATGTGGAGCCCCCTACCCCCAACCCCACTTGGTGAAATCTTTTGGTCATTTCAGTAAAAAGTTATTTGTGATGAAAGATATCATGGTATGGGTATGATAAGCAGGTTTATTGTTTGTCTCAGGATCGTCACTTTGCTATTGATCATGTGAGACAAACGGTAACAATTAAGCCTATCAACAAAGTTATTGTTATTCTAGCTCAGAGAAAAGAGCAACATGTGCCCCATCCCTCCCTCACACCCCTGCCCCCTCCCCTCCCCAAGACATGCACACCTGTCAAGTTCTAAAGTTCAGTTCATCTTAAAGTACCACTGAAGATTAAAGGCCAGTTTCTCCTAGAGCCAACTTTATTATTAGACCAATATTTTTCTCAGAGGTTAGTTTATTTTAAGGGCTTGCAGGGTATTTTCAGCGAGCAACTTACTTGCTTCCAGTCTCCTCTATTTATTAACTTGTCTCTCTCCAACCATATTCCTGGGTTTGACATAAATTCATGTGTGTGTCCATGTTGATTAGCTCCATGACTGTGCTCATGATGATGATGATGATGGTGGTGAGATTGGTCAGGTGATTGACTGATATTTCCAGCTGAAAAAAAGGAATGACAGGCATGTGTCACTCGAACTAGTATCCTTACCAAGGGTGAATTGACGGATTCATCATATTTAAACTTGCAATTCAGGGTCATGGTGAAACTCAGTGCAGAAGCACACCCCTCCCTTCTGTATGTAAATTTGTTCAGTAGCCCCCATGCACTGCCCCAGCCATTGACCCCCACCACCCCCATCACCCTCCTGCCCCTTGAGCCAGTAGTCATTCTTTTGCTGGTGGCATTTCTTTTAACTTGTTTGTTTTTTCAGTTTTTTCTCTAATGATTCCCTCTTTATTTTGTTCGTTTTCATCCCGCCTTAAAATGCACCGGGAAAGGAGACTTCAGCAGTCAGTTTATTAACTTGAAGGTAAGTACAGCTGAGCTACCCGAGAATGCAAGGTTGGCCCCCTTTCAATCTGGTCATTTGTCACAATTTTGAGATAGAAAAGTGGGTGTTACGAAAACTAAGACCCTCAAAAACTAAGACCTAAGACCTAAGACCCGTCTTAGTTTTCGAGATTACGAAAACTAAGAGGGGTCTTAGTTTTCCAAATTACGAAAACTAAGACCCCTAAATTTACCGTTAAATTTGACCTAAAACTCGGTGGAAACCGAAAGGATCGAACATGATATAATTTGACAGATCAGACCTGTTTCGGTTTCCATTTGACTTTATATTTCGACGGATTCGATTTTAGGGGGTCTTAGTTTTGGTAATCTCGAAAACTAAGACAGGTCTTAGGTCTTAGGTCTTAGTTTTCGAGGGTCTTAGTTTTCGTAACACCCATAGAAAAGTTGTATATAGCAGGATTCGATCTTCTAAATCTAATGTTCCTTGATCTAAAATAAGGTGATCGCGTGAGGATGCAACCCGGGTAATACGATACTGTCTGAAGAGTAGAGCTCTTTGAGGCATCTTAAACTGGTTTAACGACATTAACGACATCAAGATCGTATCTTTTCAAGTGATAAATTCAAGCAATACTTAACCTTTTATAAAAGTGCAAGATTTCTCCTCGTTGTCTGCCATTTGTAGTATTAGAGCTTCTAACACCGAGACTACAGATGTGAAAGCACCGACTGCATGTGGACAATCAGGCTTTGTAAGTCAAAACCAACAAGGCGTTCGTTTCACGCTGTATATGGTGGGTACTGGGGCGAGAATTTGATGGTTGCTAAGTCGTTCAATCTTTCATCACACTAATCCACCATATTGACAAGAAATCAGTCGTTTGTTTTCTTTCGTTTTGCCGATTCTTTTCGAAAAAAGCCCGTAAGATGGACGAGTTCCAAGGTGCAGAAGAAACATCTTTCGTTGTAGATGAAGTCAGCAACATTATCAAGGAGTCTGTTGAGGGAGCGATCGGTGGAAACGCATATCAACACAACAAGGTGAACCAGTGGACTTCCAATGTCGTCGAGCAGTGTTTGAACCAGCTAACAAAGCTTGGCAAGCCGTTCAAGTACATTGTGACCTGTGTAATCATGCAGAAGAATGGTGCCGGCCTCCACACCGCTAGCTCTTGCTTCTGGGATAACACTTCGGACGGGAGTTGTACTGTAAGATGGGAA